GCGGAGGCTGGGCAGGCCGCGGGGGCAGGGGCGCTGCCGGCGGCAGCGCCAGCGGCGTCCGCGGCAGGAACCCGAGCCAGCGCGGCAGCCCTTGCTGGCCCTTCGGCCCGAAGGGGCCCAGGAACCAAGGCCGGGCGCGCGGGCGACGGCAAGGTCGTCGCCGCGGGCAAGGGGGGCGACGATTTGCAGAGAGGCAGGGGCCGCAGTCGAGAGGCAGCTGAGACCGCGGCTGCCCCCGAAGGACTAGCCGCCCCGAGCCGCGGGGCAGCCGCGATATCAGCGCGAGTGAAAGGGCAACCTGTCCGATCAGGCCTTTTGATCATGACTCTCGATGGCTCAGGCTGGTTCTCGGCCAGGAGCATCGTTCGCTTTGCGTCGGCTCGCGTAGTCTTAGCTCGGGGGCACTGGCTGAGTGGCCATCGACTCAAGGATGCAGCTGCGTCGCTGAAAAAAATGGTTTGCGAGCATTTTGGGCGGAAGGTTACGGCGCGGGTTCAGGGTCGTCCGCGGGCGTTTCGATTTCGGTCCGAGGTTTCTCGGGCGCCTGGCAGCTTGCCCACGGCCTTGTCCGGCCTCGCCGCGCGCTTGGCATCTTCAGTCGTTCGAACCACCTCGGCGTGATCAGCGTCTATTCCAACTGCTGGAGGGGCAGCGTTGTGCTGATCGACGGGGGCACAGCTGGCGCTCATGCCTGGGGTGATCATATATCAGGGCGTGGGCCCCCGTTCACATCTGGGGGCGGGGCTTCAATCTCGAGCCTCATGTGATTGAAGCAGCCCTCGCCCCCGCGCAAATGCATGGGTGAAGTCGTCGTTCCGACTCCTGAAGTGACTTGCGTTTCAGGGGGCAGCCAGGAAGGCTGCGACCATTTTGCGGCCTCTTTCGCGCTGCGGCCTGCGGTCCGCGACTTCGCTGGCGTCGTTCTGGTTTTGGGTGTCCCTGCGGTGTCCGGCGGGCGCATCTTTGGCACCTTGTTTTCGTTCGGCGTTCTATTTGTTTTCGTCTTTGGTTTCTGGCGGGGGGGGGTCGGGGGGGGGGGCGGCTGAGCTTCCCCTCCGTTGGGCACGGGGGGGAAGGGGGCGGCGGCTTCTGGAGCGCGAAGCGGGGCGGGGGGTGCGGCGTGGCTTCCCAGGGATCGGGGTGGCCGGCAGGGCAGGCCCGACGGGGGGGGTAATAGCTGAGGCGGCCCTCCCGCTCCTCTTTTGGAAGGGCGCGCCGAGGGCGTTCTTTCTCGTAGATGTGGCTCCGTGGATTTCATGGGGCCCGGCGGGTGCGGTTTCGCGGCTCCGAGTTCAGATAAGAGGACCCAGGAGATCCGGGGTTCCCTTGGCGCGGGCGCCCGCGACTGGCGCGACATCTCGAAGACATCGCCGGACATGTCCGGGCAGAGGGGCCCCGGGGGGCGCCGGGTATGTTTCCGAGGATCCATGGGCGCAGCTGCCGGCCGCGAAGCAGCGCCGTGGTCGTTCTGGGCATCGCGCGCTAGTCTGGCTCCAGCACTGCTGCCGAGTAGCGGTCTCGCCCTGGCGCGCTGGCGGGGCTCGGGGTGGTGGGCGTCTTAGTCGGCTGACGGCCGCCCTCTTTGAAATGCGTAAAGGCATCGGACAACCGCGCCGCCATCTGGGGCCCGATGGAGGAGCTCATTGGGGCGAGAGGATGGAGGGCCTTTTGACGAGCGAGAATATTTCAGATTGCGACCTGCTCGACGGTCGAGACGCCCTGGGGCGAGACGCCGAAGGCATTGCCCAACCGCGCCTCCCTTGGGAAACATGGGAAGCCAGGGCCACGTGGCGAGCTTGGTTCGACGAAGCTGTAGCTGGGGGGGCATGCAGGGCCCGCGCCTGCGTCGGAATCGCGGGGAAATCCTTCGCGCGCGCGATGGCGGTCTCCCCGCGGCCTGCCCAGCTGCAGCTTTGGCGGCGCAGGCGGCGGACTGGGCCAGTGCATGGGGTGCCGAGAGCCGCGGGGGGCCGGCGCGTCTGCGTTGGCCTGCGACGCCGATTCCGAGAGCCCTGATGGTTTTCGAGGGGAGGTCCGCCAATTCTCTCTCTCTCTCTCTTTTTTGTGTTTTCGTTTTTTTTTGTTTCCTTCCTTCCTGCTCTCCCTCTCTCTCTCTCTCTCTCTCTCTCTCCCTCTCTCTCTCTCTTTGTCTGTGTCTCTGTCTCTGTCTCTGTCTCTGTCTCTGTCTCTGTCTCTGTCTCTGTCTCTCTCTCTCTCTCCCTCCCTCTCTCCTCCTCTCTCTCTTTTTCTTTTGTTTTTCCCCCCCCTCTCTCTCTCTCCCCCTCTCCCTCCCTCTCTTCCTCTCTCTCTCTCTCTCTCTCTTTTTGTCTCTCTCTCTCTCTCTCTTTCTTTCTCTCTCTCATCTATCTCTCATTTATGGTTCCTCTATCTCTCTCTTTCCCTCTCACTCTCTCTCTCTCTCTCGTTTTTTTTTTTTTTTTTTTTTTTTTTTTTTTTTTTTTTTTTCTCTCTCTCTCTCTCTCTCCCTCTCTCTTTTTCTGTCATTTCTGTTTTTAAAGCATTTTTTGTTATTCATTCATTTCTTTCTGTCTCTTTCTCTCCTTCGCGAGGCGCCATTGATGTTTGCGGTTTTCGCCCTTGCCGCTTTGCTGCTCTCTCGTGCGGGGCCCTGTCAGTATTATATAATATGTTCGTGCTCATTCGATTTTCCGGGGGCCTCCCTGCTCGGGTGCAATATTCATCTCGCTGTTCGCGAAGCCGAAGAAAAGGTTTCAGCCCGATCGGTTTCTATCGGGGCCTGGGCCGCGCGGCGTTGAGAAGGACTGCGCGGGTGCATCGAGGTCGGGAGGGGCGAGGTTGCGAAGCGTGGGCGCTATAACATGACGCCCCGCAGACATGCTGCAGATGGTGTCTGGGGGCGATAATATATTCGGGATGACGCGGCGCACTCGGGGCAATAACATATTCTGGCGGTCCTGGGGGTTCTCGAGCAATGAAACGAACGCGTTCGCCGCGACTTTCTAGGGGAGGCTGCTTTCGACTTGGGTTTCCGCTCTTCGTCTTGCAGTTCGCGCTCGCCGCGTATGTTTGGCCGAGGGTGCTTGCGTTGGCAGGTCAGGCGCCGCGTGGGATCTATCCGTCCGTGGCAAGGCGTCGCGGCAGGAGCGAGCGCGGCCAAATTTGGCATGGCATGCCGCGTGCTGCCAGTTGTGTCCAAGTGCCCAGAGCAGGAGTTTTGGCCTTCCTTCAGCATCCACATTGACGACATTCGTTTGCATCGCAGCAACCATTCTGCGCCGCCCCTCATGGGGCAGATGAGAGGGCTCTAGTATATTTGACCGGTCGATGTGCGAACGATATTGGCCCCCCTTTGCATTTGACAAGTTCAGCATGCCAGGTGATTCCAAACGGCCCCTTCGTTGCACGACCTCTCGCAGGGGCATCTACGCTGGCGCAGAGGAGGAGAGCCAGCTATCATCAACCTTGGTGTTGACTCTTCGCCTGGTAAGAATCGAGTGCAGCCCCGTGTCAAGAAGAGGATAATTGCCCAGTGGCAAGCAGCGAAACCCAGGATCATCAAGCTATCGGCCCTGGCGGGGCCTATGATGAAGAAAGCCGCGTTGTTCTTCTGCGGGGTCAAACCCGGCCTTGCCCATGCGGGAGAAGTCGTGGACGGTTTCCCGGGGAAATCGAGCGAGACGTCCAGGTGCCAACCTCCAGCTGGCATGGCCCCTGGAGCCAGACAACGACCTTTTGAGTCGCGCGTCGGCAAGCCTGATCAGACATTGTCGAAAGTCTTGGTTGGCTCTTAGGTCGGTTCTGAAGACCCACGTCGGGCTCTCGCCTAGGGGTCTCCACAGGACTTTCAACATGTCCACTGGTCACTCTGAGGGTCTCCCCAATACCTCCATCTGGGGCAAGAAGAGCTTCGGGGCCGTTGGTGACGTGTTCTGCTGGGCCCAGAAGGCTTCTTGTAAATTTATATATTCAGCCAGGCTTCGACGGCCCAACGGCCAGGGGCTCATCATTGCAGGGACCCTTCCGTGCACGATCGAAAGCGTCGTCGCCGAAGACTTCCGCGCGCCCCTGATGGCCCCTGAGGTTCTCAAGCGGCTCCTGCCTGACAGCGGCCCTCAACGCGCGGCCGGAAATCGCACATTCGAAATCCAGAAGAAATGCCACTTAACCCCCTGCCGCCACGGATCTTCCAGGGAAGCAAGAAGAGACCCGATAGGCGCGGGCACACTTTGACGCAGCTGTTCTGCGAAAGCTATGTTGCAGCCGCCGAGCTCCACGGCTGGGGCTGCCATGCCTCGCCCATGTGCAGCGTTTGCCTTGAGCGGCTCGGCTCGGCCTGTCACCGTGCATAGGCGTGCCCAACGAAGGCCAGGGAACAGGCGGACATGCTTGATTCATCACTGATGCAAGAGGCGCTGGCAGTTGGGCCAGATGACCTCCTCTTCAGCCGTTAATGGGTGCCAGTCTCAGAGCGCGCGACCCCGGCCCAAGATGAAGTGATTGTGAACTCTTGGGTGCCGATGGGCCCGGGGAGCCCTGCCAGTTCGATATGGGTGACGGGCTTTTCTATGACGGCAGTTGTTTCGGTCGGCGTTTCTCGGTGTCTGGGGGCTCCACGGCTGGCTGGGCCGCGGTGGTCGCGAAGACGGATGGTGATTTCAAGCGCGTCATTTTCGGGCACGTTCCTGACTTCCTGGTCAAACGCCCTTGTTCGGAGACCACGTGGCAGCCATCCGAGGACTGATGCGCTCGGACCCGACATGCCCGCTTGTGCGCGCCCGCCTGGATTGCGTAGGAGGAGGAGGAGGAGGAGGAGGAGGAGGAGAAGGAGGAGGAGAAGGAGGAGGAGGAGGAGGAGGAGGAGGAGGAGGAGGAGGAGGAGGATCTGGGCGACCCGAGGGGGGACCGAGCGCGGTCAGCAAGGGAGGGTGACCTGCGGTGGCGTTGGCGGCAGAACCGAGCCGAGCCAGGCCGAGGGCTGGGCGCGGCGGAGCGGCGGCGGCCCCGCACCGCGGAGCGAGGATCCTTCGCCGTTTCGGACGCCCGAACCCTCGGAGCTGCTGGAGGCCTCCCATGGGCGGGCACGCCCCTCTTCCGCAGGTGGAACGCAGGGGCACAGGTTTCCGAAGTTGGGGGTGTCAGCTGCGCCTTGCCGAAGGCTTTGTAGGGGTCTCCAGATCGTCCCGAACGGCCGACGGAGACCCGAGTTATGACCCGAAGGCCTTCCCAGGCCGCCGACGAGGTGCGCTTGTTCCCTGGTAGCGTTTCGCTAGGCCGTTTACTATAGATCATAACATTTTACCACCAGAATCTCCACACGGGGGGGGGGGCTGGGTGGAGGCGTCTCCCAGGCCAGGCGGCGGCCCAGAACGCTTCGGAATCGACTCGCCTCGTGCAGCGTTCTGGCTCGATTGGGTGATTCACATTGTTGTTACGGTTCGATTTGGTCCAGGAATGCGGCCCACTATTATGTTCAGGCTAGATTTCAGCCTTCCCATACCCAGAAATGAAATTAATAATTGCGTTCAGGTTCGAGTCCTTTTCACTAGAGTCTCCACCAAGTGGATGATGACAATCTCGGTGTTGGCGTCAGCCTTGATGTCGATAGGTCCGTGGACCTAGGTTCCTTTCGTCAGCACGAGTGTCGGGCCGCTCTCTGCTTTGTTCCACCAGCCTTGAAACGTATAGTATCTGGTTCCAGGGAAACTCTTGTACCTCAGCACGATGGGTACGAGTGCTGTAACAAGTGTAACTATGAAACATGAGTATATCTTTTGGGTGCGAGCTCTCTGGAGCCCGCAATGTATTGAAACGACTGCCCAACGGCAGCTCAAGGGGCCCTTAGCCAAGTCAAATGGTAGCAGAGCAGTAGGCAATGCAGACATGCACAAGTGTTTTTTTTCAGAAATCTTTGTTACCTCTGCTAGCCGCTTCCAGGCTCGAGAGGACCATTCATTGTCGTCGCTGCCAATATGGCGCATCATATCACAGTACCGTCGGCCACATCTGGCACAGCAAAAAAAACAGTGTAACCTTAGGCTCCCTTCCACCGGGTCTCTGAACTACTGCTTGCTCGCAACCAAGGCTTCTACCGCTCAGAAGTAAATTCAACCTCGGTCAGGGGGCCCGCTGCAGACCTGGTCCCGATCATCTTCTTCACCACCGACTGCTGCATCGGGTGGTGTAATCTCCGTGGTCTTGGATGCGTCTCGGATGAGGCCAGCGAAACATCGTTTGTTCGTCTGGAGTCGGGTGAGGCCTCTCTCCTTCCGCTTCTTGGGCATTGTACCGTGCCTTCATGTGTAATTCGATCGGCCCGAAGGCCGCCACCTTGGTAAGAGTGTCGTGTAGGTTCGCCCCAGAGTAAGAGTGGCACCGCCCGACGATCAGCCCGGTCTCCTCGCTGCACCGCTCGAAAGTCATCAGCTCCATGGCTGTCCGCTTCTCTGCCAAACTCTGCATATATACCTGCTTCGCCAGACAATCATAGATGCTCGTAGCGTCCACGCTGAGGAATGCCTTGACATTCCAAACTCATTCAACCATAGGTCGCAGCTCCCGGCCTGCACTGTGCACTGGCCGCGGCCGCCACCACGTCCGAGACGAATCCGTTCAGCTCGGCCCACATCATGCGCACCAGGAGCAGCCAGTCCTCCACGACTGTCAGAGTTTGGGCTTCGGCCGCCAGCGAGCTCCTGGCCACCCGCTGTAGTTTGCCACTGCGATGTGACACCAAGCCGACAGATGTCCGCTTGCCCCCTGAGATGTCCTCCAGTGCGATGCCGATCACGCACCCAGCAGTAGAGAGGCCGTCTGGACGGTTCGCCCAGGCTGCGTCGCTCCAACCCACGATCACGGCTGTACCCTTGAACGGCTCGAAGTTCAGTTTGTAGTTCGTGTCCATCTTGATCTGGCGGATCCTCTTTTTGATGCCGAAGAGCGTTTCGATGGTCGCTGTTGGTCCACTGCTCTGGAAGATGGAGCACTGCGCTTGGTACCGTGGTATCGTCCGTATAGCCGCCCACCGGATCTCGCCCAGAGTTCTTCTTAGTAGTGTCATCTCGCGGTCCGTGGGCTTCTCGTTGCGCTGGTTTCGGCGATCGCTGGGAATGTCGATCTCCTTGATGTTGTCGATGAATTCCTTCTGGTGGATAGTGATTCGTCCGTTCGGGCCTTGGTTAACCGCCAGCCCAGTTTGCTTGAACTGTCATTCTTCCCAGCGGGTTCAGCGAAACGCCTTTGAAGCTTCATCTCCACGTCCGTCCAGCGACGGCTGCCGTCACCTGTGATCAGGAAGTCGCCCACGTGCGTGCCGAGGATGCCGTGCACGCCCTCCTCGTCGATGAACACCCAGACGCATGGATCCGACGCGCATCTCTGTCCTCCAAGCTGCTCCTTAGCACGTTCACGCTCTCGTGCTACGACTTGGGTGCTTGACATAATCCATACGCTGCCTTCTTTAGGCGTGCGGGTGTCCCGACGGGTAGCCCCAGCTCCTCCGCCAACTCCTCGGTCGCCGCGATGGGCACTGGCCATCCCCATGCCTGGCAAGAGCGCCGCCTTGACGTCGCCCTTTTCGATCCCCCAGACCTTCATCGCGGTCAGCTGAAATATGATGTTCCTGGCCCTTCTCGTCATTGTCGGTGATGCCACTGGTTCTTCACCGAGACGTGGATCTTGATGTCCAGGAACCACAAGTCTGGCCTTGGCTTGGCTGCTTCCTGTTGCCTCGTCCTTCTTCCAGGTCAACGTCCATCTCGTCTTCAGCACGTGCGCGGGACTCGGCTTCATGCGAGGTGGAAGCGGTTCGAGCACGTCGTTTGCGATACAGTTGCGCACTTCCACGAGCTTCGCCGCCTTCATTCGGTCCTTCTGCTCGCTGGTCACTTTCTTGACGCTGGCTTTCGTCCTGCCTTATTTCAGCGCCTTGGCCACGTAGCGCTCTGGTTGGCTGCGTGTATTTTCCACGTTCGCCAGGTCCACGACCTCGAACGCCATCTCGATGATCTTTGTCCCGACGGGGAATGAGAAGTCCTTCTCCAGCTCGGCATCCGCGTGCGCGCTCAGGTCAAACTAGTCCCACTCGAGCTGGTCCCAGTCCGTGACCTTGTCGTCCGTGAAGACTCCGATCGCCGTGTGTGAGGGCCCGAATGGTGTCATCATCCATATTCTTCAATGTGTCTTCGCGAAGAGGTCGTGCTTGGGCTTGCGCTTCTCGCGACGTGTCCAGTCATCGTTCATGACCGGGATCGGCTCGATCGTCGTTTTCTCCATCAGGTCAGAGTCGTGGTCATCTCCAATCGGCGTCTTCTCTGCCGCTGATGTCTCTTTCCGTTGTCCTGGTATTTATCTGGCCGACTTGGGGGATTCATTTTTTGCCTCCTCCTTTCTCTTTTGGAATAGGTAGGTCTTGCCCGTCCAACGTCGCCCCAGTGTCCGCGTCGACCTCAAGTGAACGTTCCAGTTTTCGTCCGGAGTCCTTGACTGTCTCCGTGGAGCCACCCTCGAACTGGGCCGCCGTACATGTAACTCGTTCCATGGTCGTCTTCGCGGGTCAGGCTCTGAAGCCTCTCGCGGAAAACGGCGCCACGCGATGTCGGAGATGGATTCGAACGTGGGCTTTGCGTTCTCCGAACTCGCCTCGAGTGCATAGGTCTCCTCCTGCGCGGGCGCGTCCTCCTTTTCTACGCTGATCACCTCGCCCTTGTTGAGATTGTCGAGCGCCTCCACGGTTGTCCAGGGAGTGCCTCTCTCGGCCGTGATGACCTCCTCCTCGCGTGAGCTGGCTGTCCGCAGATGCTCTGGTGAGCACCTGCAGAGACGCGCCCCCGTCGCCGCCTAGACCTTTCGGGATGGCCGTGGGCTCTCGCCGTTCACTCTCGCAGTCTGCACCCCGCGGTGCCTGGTCCAAACCATCGCCCTCGATTGGTGCCGTGCTGCTTCCGCCTAGCAGGCGCAGGCTGATTGGCCTGCTCGCCGCGCCGCCAGACGCATGCCAACATGCTCTGCACGAACCTCTGAACTCGTTGATCTTGGGCGGCTGCGGCTCGGCTGCTGCTTCAGGATCCTGTCGCCAGTGATCTTCGATGCCAGCGCGCGTGTGCACGGGTTCTCCATGTGATTCTGATTTGTGCCCTTCATTATGTCCAGATTATCGCCCTGCGCGCGCGTCCCCGACCAGTTTGCTGTTCCGGCCGAATTTCGGCGAACCCTTCTTGCATCTGGCGGCTGGCGTTGGCGTTGGCGGCGTCGGACAGTCAATGATGTCGTTGCCCGCGGCATGGTGAATTTTGCCAAGATGCCATATGTGCGGGTGCGGGCTCTATGCTACCCACCAACGAAAGCCCCCCGAGTCGGACTGTAGCCGTCGACCCGCTCCACGGTGTTGTGAGCTTCCACTGACCGGCCGTCTCCAGGTCTGTGTCGTGGTCCCTGTGTGCTGACTTGGCGCGCTCTGCACGGCCGTGAACCGAGCCTCCATGCCGACGTGTGCCGGTAAGACGCAGTGGATGTCCCCCGTCCTGTGCATGTTCGGGACGTTCAGGAGGCGCCGGCCCGCGTCTGGGTCGCCTTGAACCGTGTTGCAAAACAACATAGGGAGGGGGCTCGCGCCTGAGACTTCCTCACAATTTACTCACAAACGAGGCTCCCGCATGAGACTTCCTCCATGTTGAAGCCTGAGGAGCCCAAAAATGACGACAGTTACAAGGTTGAGGATGACCCGCTCGGATTACCAACATGAAATGCGGGACCCAAAGGGGGGGGCTCCCGCCTGATACTTCCTCGCAATTCACTCACAAGAAAGGCTGCCGCCTGAGACTTCCTCCAAATTGAAGCCTCAGGAGCCCAAAAGTTATGACAGTTACAAGGTTGAGGATGACCCGCTCGGATTGCCAACATGCTTGGGGCCAACTGGCTCCAGTGCCAATGCGGGTTCACCGATCGTGATGACAAGCTCGGTGTTGGCGTCAGCCTCGATGTCGATAGGTCCGTGGATATAGCCTCGATGTCGATAGGTCCGTGGATATAGCCCCTTTTCGTCAGCACGAGTGTCGTGCCGTTCTCT